CTGCGCAAACACCGGCCACTATCTTGCCCCGGTCTCGCTTGTCCAGAAAATATTATGTCACTGAATCGTTAAACGCGCGCGCGAACGTTTAACGCGCGTTGACGGACGAATCCGCTTAGCTCGCGATTAAGCCGCGTAACATTAAGAGGATAACGCTCCGCGATACACTCGTAGCTTTGTTTGATATCGCGCGTCGAGGATAGGTCGAATAACGTCCATGATAATCCGATTGTCAATGTTGCCGACACTATCCGAACGCGATCGATACACCTTGTTGTTCGGTTGTATCAGAAGCCTGTACGACGGATCGCCGGCGTTAAGAGATCAATGTTCTTCAAACTCTCGTGCGCCGATAAGAGCTTTGTCGTGGCGCGTAATCGAAAAATCGATATCACATACACGCGTAGGGCGTACACATTTGTCGCTCGTTCTTTTACGTTGTGTTATATCGGCGACTGAAACGATACGGTAATGTGTAACGTGTCGGAGAGTTTAAGTTTCGCGAATGTAAATTCTTCGGGAACGTGGAATCTCATTAATCCACTTTTTTTTTTTCATGCAATCGTTAAATAGAGATTAAGATCTAGAACTAACAACAGTTCAGTTATCTTTAATTTAATCTCTTCTAAAGCGGAGGCATATTATCGAAATCTGCACGCCTCACTGGCGGATTCTTCAGCTTAGCAAGTTTCTAATGTCACTGCTAAAAATATACGCGAGAGATGCATCGTGCGATTAAGTAGCTCGGATCTCTGTATATTTTCGATCGAGATGATTATCCGTGACTCCTTCGCGGATAGACAAGAGATAGTGACGAGCTACAACATCTGCATTTACACAGTCTCGTAGTTTAATCTAGTTTGCACCCTCCTATCATCAAGGGCTATCTATTACCATTTGCAGAGATAGATTCATCGCTAGACTGTAAGCAGATCGTTACTACTTCGCTCAACAATCGCCCTTGTCTTCGGCAGAGGATCCGGGAGTTATAACAAAAAATATCTCGGTTTAATCATCTCGCGATATTCACGTAATATCTCAACATGTCAATTCGCGAATATCGATTGATTTAACATCTGTCCTTTGCTTTTACAAAAGGTAGAATAAAATTATCTCAGAGTAGAATTAATAAGAATATCCTTTTCTATGTTTCTTTATAAAATTATATTATATGATAAGAATGTTTGCTTTGCAAACTCATCTTAAAAAATTATTTATTAAAAAAATTAAAATTATTTATCAAAAAAATTATTTATTAAAAAAAATAAATGATAAAAATCTTCTTAATGATAAAAGATTTAATCTTACTTTAGTTTAATTGTCCCTTTATAGAATTTCACACAGAAGTATTGAAAAGGAGAGAAAATAGAAATCTGCAAACTCATCTTAAAAAATTATTTATCAAAAAATTTATTTATTAAAAAAATTAAAATTATTTGTTAAAAAAATTATTTATTAAAAAAAATAAATGATAAAAATCTTCTTAATGATAAAAGATTTAATCTTACTTTAGTTTAATTGTCCCTTTATAGAATTTCACACAGAAGTATTGAAAAGGAGAGAAAATAGAAATCTTCCTTTCTTATATATATTAAATCTAATTCAAGGAGAGGAAATAAAAAGATTGTAGTAGATGCGAGATTAAAGTCAACCGACTTTGCTGAAAGCGTTTATAAATCCTAAAAATAGTAACAGGGACACGTTCGACTTTTATTTCGAGATATATTTGCGCGACGAGAAAAGATACGCGAATGGAAGAAAACGTCGATACTACTGAGACGTATCGCGAGACGAATAACACTCGCCACACTTGCTTCGGAGATAGAATATGACGTTAGAAGCGATCCGGGCCAATATACATATGCTTTTCCCGTATTTCGCTTTTCGTACATTTATAGTTAATACGGTGAAAAAGGATAAATGTAACTTCCCATTTCCCCGGCCTGGAACGGAGATAGATCTCGACATCGACGGCAATAATAGCCCTCGACGCTAAAACAATTGCGGTCAGTAATTGCGATCTTGCTCGGTGGTTTAAGAGCTCGACGACGCGTTAACGACCGAAATGCAGCACAAATGGGCTCCCGAACGTTGTTCGAAATAAAGACTAAACGAAGTTCTCTCTTACTCGCCGCGCGAGTTACGTCTCGTCGTTTGTTAAACTACAACGAATGTGTCAGAGTGAATCGTACTATAATTGTCGGCAGTGTGTACCGTAGCGAGGATGGAACGCGTTCAATTACATTTAAAATAGGTTACCGCATTCCTGAAGAAAGAGAGGGAGAGAGAGAGAGAGAGAGAGAGAAAAAAAAAGAGAAGGTAATATACGTGCAACGTGTTTTAATGGGAGCTTTAATAATTGCGACCCACACCCTCAGCACGGCGGGCATCAGGTGTCTTATTTAAATATTTATAAAGCTTCACCTCTTGCGTATCGTCTTGAAACTGAAGTACGCGAAGCGGCACGCTGCTTTGTCCAGAAAGGTAAATTTGCCGAGCAGCGACGAAGAGCATCAAGTTTACTTCATGTATTTTTCAAAGAAGCGCGTCTGCGGGGATCCTCGATCAACGATCCGTATCGCCCTGCAATTTTCCTCTATTTATTCAATCTTTGAGGAAAATTTGAATTAATTTACATTAATGATGATTAGTATAACTGATGACAAATTTTTACAATTTTGTAAAATAAAAATAAATCGAGGATATTTACGGTATTAGAAATTATTAATGAAGAATTATTTGTAAATAAGGAGTATCATTGATGTAGTGTTTTTTTTATAAATTTAGTGGCATTAAACAAATTTTTAGTTTTCAGTAAAAACGTAAAGTTATTTGATTTTTCTTTTTCTCTTAAAGAGAAATCTTATAATTAGATAAAACGACTCAAGTAACACGTCGCTATTATTCATAAAATAATACTGTCTTTGTCTCTTCTAATAAGTCTTCTCTAACTGTCGTGCCTAAAGCGGTGTTAAGCGATATTCACAGAACTTGCTTCGTTGCAATCATTAGTCCTCCATTCAAGGCGCCCAAGTTAGAAATGCGCAGCGTTATGGTAAAGGTATAACGCGTTCTATTATCCTGCCAGTTTCTGCAACTGAGTCGCATCTGCGAATATCCAAGTCGCGAGAATAAACTTTCCAAAGACAAACACGAAAAAGAATGTTATCGTTTATCGTATGGGATCCCTGCTGCTTAAGTGCCAAACCTCTCTCGATACTGACATTCGAAGGATATTAGCATTCAAAGGACGTGGATTTTCGTATGACGGAAATAAATTCTAGTATTATTCCTCTAATAAGTTTTCGAAGATTTAATATTTAAAAACTGTGTAAGTTTCAAGAAATAAGAAAATTTCAGCAAAATCTATTTTCTTTCTAAATAATATATATTAATTTTTAAAAAATATAAAAAATATATATTTTTGCACTTTTTTATCTTTGTACTTTATAATAGTTTTTTTTTAATAGAAATACACAAATATTTTTCAATTATGTGAATCATGCAATACTTGTTTTTGTCTGCTAAATTTAACATGCATGAGTATGCGAGGTGTGTCAGGTATTTCAAATTTATCTTAAAATCTTCCTGGATGCATTTAAGGAACCCTCCGATTCCCATGGCACCTACGCTATCGCGCAAAGTTCCTCGCGTTTATTTAGCTTTTTCCCTCTAAACTTTTTCGCCAATGTAACAAGCATCCTCGTTAAACTTCGTAAAATATGTAATGTTCACAAAGGGCGCAGCATTCAGGATGATTTATTAGGAATCGTAAATAATTTAATCATAGAAATCGTATTGAAGAAAAATAAAAATACGCTTTAGGGTCATGTTTTATATTCTTTTTATAAAATGGAATTTTTTTCAATATTATTATTGCATGAACAACTTTCAGATATTCTAATATCAGCAGAAAGCAAGAAAAATATTCAAGAGGACTTGCATGAGACTATAAAATGTATCTGGAGTGCTCGCCCTGCACTTTATTTTCCCTTGGCACTTTAATAAAAGTACTTTTACCAAAGTCTTCTGCCACGAATCAATCCAAGAAAATCCAATCGGAGTTCGTGCCCCGTGCATTCATGCTTGGATCTCGAATATCCCATTCTTTCTACGCTTCGCAATTCCTTCGGGATACGATATCGTCTGCATGTCTGGACATGATTGTTCTTCTTCTTTTATTGGAGGAAAATCAAGCTTGAGACTATTAGAGACAACATTATTCGTCACGTTGTGCAAAATACGTGCAAAGACCTATGTAATATTTTATTAAATTCATTCAAAAAAATTTTGAAATCCAATAAATTTTTCAAAATTTGATGAAAATTTGTTTGTAGTCTTGCGTTAAGGAGATTTGTACGTTATTGAAGTTTATTTATATGAAACATAAATAATCGAGAATTTATATCGAAAATAACATTTTTATTGAAAACCAGGAAGTATAAACAATACTATCTCGCTTTTTCGATTAAGATATTTTTTCATATTATTGTTTGATATTATTTATTGTCGATCTTGTGTTCTTACAAAACAAAAGAAAAGTATTTCAATTTAAAAATGTATCTTTAAAAGTGCATTGAGGAAATATAAAATTCCACGCAATAATTTTTTTATATACACGTATACTAAAAAAATTTTCCAAAAATTCAGACACATTTCTGTCTGAAATTTTCCGATCTGGGTGTTTGAAAGAAATTTCAGATAATCATTAGAGTCGTTTTTCTGAAAGTTCAGAAGAGTGTGTCTGAAAATTCAGACAATATGTCTGCAAAAAAACTGCAGACGCTTTGTCTGAAGTTTCAGTCAGTTTTTTTTTTTTTTACAGCGTATCGCTCTGTTACATGAAATACAGGTTGTTTCCGTCCTATTCCAGTTAATTAAATCATGCGAGAACTTTGAAATTCAACGCGACACGTACGATGTCCCCGAGAGTGGAGAGTAAAAGGGATTAAGGGTTAATACCACATTCGCGGATGGTGTAATTTCCATTTTCTCCACAGCTGGAGGCGTGCGGCCGACTTCTGTGCTGCGTGCAGAGGCTCTGCAGAGGCAGAAGTGCAGCCGACGAGCCCGGCGAGCATCGGATCAACGCTCGCGGTCGTCGAGGAGCGAAAGCGGAGCCGGAGCTGGTGGAGGGTCAGGGTCCCTCGGGCCCGGAGGATGGAATGCTCGCTATGCCCGTCAGCCCGAGTCCCGCATCCACTTCGTCGCAGGAAGACGCTTGCAAACCGCCACCGCGTAACTGCTACCGCCTCGTTATGCTCGGCAGCGCCCGTGTTGGAAAGACCGCCATTGTAGCACGGTAAACGCGCAGAATTGACGAACCGACGTTAAACGAGGCTTTGAGACGAGAGTTTCCCTTCTTTATTCGTCCTCGTCCCCTCTGACTGATATTTTTATAAATATCCTCTACATTTAATATAATAATTTACATAGAAATGTTTTATTCGTTTATTTTTAATTGTTATTTGGGTTTTTCCAATATTTTCCATTAAAATAATTGCCAGATTCCCGATTCGTTTATGTTGTGCGAATTTTGGTACTACGTTCTCTGCGTTCGATCTTCTAAATTCTGTTCGTCGCGCTCTCATTCGCAGATCGATTACTAATAGCGCGAAACAATATGATTCAATTAATCTTTGAACCGTGCTGTCGACCTCACCGCTTATTGTGTTTGCTATTGTTACATGACCGCTGCCACCGCGGGATAGGATATCGAAAAACCGAGGCCGCCATGTGTTCCTAGGAACAAAGCGTAATTCTTTTCAACTGGATCGGCCTGCTAAAATTGCTAGTTAATCATATTTCTTTTCTCATCGAGGGATAAAATTAATTCGCTAGCTTGAAGTTATGTCGACTATTCAGAATCGATTGCAATTATGCGATCCTTAAATTCTAAGCGCATTTTTCGTCCACACGTGCGCATAAATAGCAACCGCTAATGAGTTCATTTTAAAAAGCAAGATAGACGGTTTTATCTTTTCGTTCGATTTGCATCTACTTCGCAAATACTTTATGTATTTTATATATTTAATTAAATGGAAAAAAGCCTTTTATATATACATATAATTTTTACATTATTCAAAATACAGAGAATATTATAAAATTACAATAATTAAAAATATAAAACACTATTTTATTAATCGATTATATAAAAAAAAAGATATTTATAAAAATAGAAGTAAATCTAAATTAGAAATTCAAAAGATAACTATATATCTAAAAGATAATTATATTATATAATAAAGAGAAAAGGATAAAAAAACATAGGGATCTCTTTCTCTTTGTCCTGAAATGACGAATCGATCGCGTGGTTAAAATCTCTATCGTTCACATTTCAGATTTCTGTTCAACAAATTCGAGGAGAGCTACACGCCGACGATAGAGGATTTTCACAGGAAACTTTATAGGATCAGAGGCGAGGTTCACCAGCTTGATCTGCTGGATACAAGCGGAAACCATCCGTTTCCGGCTATGCGACGATTGTCCTTCCTGACGGGTAAGTCCATTGACTTACCTCCCCGGAGAAATGCTTCGTTTCAAAGAGACAGCACGCATTCATGGCGCCGGGTGAAGTTTTCGAAAACATATTTCTATCGATTTTAAAATCCAATTCCGGACAATGACGTTTAGCTTTAATTTAATGGCTCGGGAAAAATTAATGGATATTTAATTCTTGCACGAGCGGATGAAAAATTGCACGTTTGCGGGCGCGGTGCAAATACACCGCGATGCATTTTGTATGAGGATACGCCAGATTGTGGTAGATGGAAAATCAACCACGAAAACCTCCAGACGCTTTCTATTTTGCCGTGAATACAGTTTGGTAAATCTTTAAACGTTTTAAATTTTTAAACGCGCGAACGCGATTGTACGACGAGATGTTCGTCTAAAGCTTAACACCCCTTACTTAATTAATACTTGAATTTTGTATCGGCGCTTTTTCGACGGCGGAGGAAACTCTCGTTCCCCGATATAGCGAAAAGATGCTTAGAATCATATAAGTAATCTTACAATGAAAAAATGCACCGAGGGTTTTTATCGTCAAACTTGCGCTTCGAAAGTTTCACGACTTTTACGAAATCTCATATTCCCGGCAACGACAGTTCGCTACGCCGTGCACATGGGAAAAGTTCGAGGGTAAAGCCTGCCAGGGGTAATGTCGGCTGTTACCGGAATTTCTGCAAGCTTCGAAATATGAAGTTACACGCAAAGTATCGCATGAATTTCGATTAATTTTGCAAAATCGAGGTTTATACGTTACACAAAAAATGTCATTTTTTACAATAAAAAGTTTACAATCTCACAAATATCAAAACGGTCGTAACCCATCTAATTTTATTTATTTATTTCTTGCCTTTTTATATCTGTTAAAAGCATTTTATTATAAGGTTGAGCATATTTTAAAAATTATAATCTTTATCATTTTTTTGCTTCTTCATAGAGGAAGCTTTGTTTTCGTGACAAAATTTTTTTTCGAGTTTTCTATGCCAATAATAATAATATTAAACTAGACTGTTTTTTTTAAAATGAGTTTTTCGGGTACACTTGTTTGATTAATTGACTTTTTACACTTAGTGTGCATGTAAATCTCTAAACATTGTACAATGCATTGCTTTGTATTTATAAATTAGAGAGACACGACAATCCAATATAGTGCCAATCCCCAAAGTTCGTCACAATATTCGAAAACGTTAAGCGAAAACGGGATGTTCAACGGGTCGTGAGTCCGAGGGACGAGGGTGAAGACGCTTGTGATAAGTGGCTGATAGTATCGAAGGATCTTGTATTCGCGAAAATGCGAGGGGATGTACGAAGGGTACATTCGCTCGATAACTCAGTTTCGTCCCCCTTCTTTGCCATCTGGTAGCTTTGTCCCTACGGCACACACGAGGCTGTTTGTGTCCTATCGATTTTCTACGTAGATCTGCCTTGTCCCTTGCGTCACGTCACGTTGCCATCTGCACCTGATAACCTGATATCGGCCCGTGCCGCTGGACGCGCAACAATTGCATCAGCGTCGCGCTTGTCAAGATGGAAGATGGACCAAACTGAAAATACATATTTACGCTCGGACGTACATACATGCAAACGTCACGTCGGCTGGCGTGAAACTATTATAATCTAAGTTGCGATCTATGTATAACGCACAATTCCCAAAACGACGCTATCCGGCAAAACAATGGCAAGTTACAGGAGAGTACGACATACAATTTAGATATGAAGATACTAAAAATGGATTTTGTATTTAAAAATTTCATAACTATTAATATATATAATATTATTTATATTAATTTTACAATTATTTTCTTTATTAAATAAATTATTGTATTTTGTAACAATTTTCTTGGCTTTTTACGGTTAATATTTGATGCCCAATATATTTATCTTCAATTCTATAATTATTTAAAAGGAGAAAATAATGTTCTTTAAAATTTACACAATTGTGTGTGTGTGTGTGTGTGTGTGTGTGTGTGAAAACGTCCGATAGCAATAGTTTTCCCCTGGGAACTAAGTACCTCAATCCGTTGTATATTTTTCTTTTTTGTTTGAGCCGTGTTGTACAAATTGCACTGGACGGAACTGATACTCGTCTCTCGCGAATTTGTTCTACATGCGCCTGAAAATGACCATGTATCATCGCATGTCGCCCCAGTAAAGGTGACCCTCGCATAGAGGCTTACGGCAGAATTAGACACGTAAATCCGAAGAATTTTTAAATTGCCGTCCGTGCGTGCGGAAATCAAGAGAGCCACCGTCGATGAGAATTTCATCGTCGCGTTTTTAGTTTTGTATTCCGCCCGACTCTCGTGCCGCTAGAAATTCCGCGCATTCGGCAAAGAGTCACGACTCCACATTTTTCCGGTCGCATTTTTCTCACAGCTTCACGGAGATCTTTTAATAATTCATAAATCTCTCGGCCGATTGACAAAAAAATTTCACCCATCAATATCAGTTCGCGTGTTGATGATAACGTTTGCGTATTCTATAAACATCGCGTTTATATCAAGAATTATTCGGTTTTATCAATTATAAATATTTAATCACGGGTATTATTTTTTTTTTCAAGAATCCTCTCTTGATATAATAATTAATATATAAAATCATAAATGTATATATATGTATCACTTAAGTTCGTCGAGTGAGTAAAAAAGGTTTACGCGAATCCGTCGGAATATGCCTGAACATGTAGAAACGCGATATGACCCCGATTCGAAGACAATGAGCCTTCAGACGGGGCTCCGGCTGTTGCGAGAAGAGAGAATTCCTTTCGACACCAAAGACTCGAACTTTGCCGCATAATGGCTGACATACATATATTTTCATCTCGCGGCGCGAGGACAATATCGGACCAGCTTGGCGCGTTTCGTGCGAGTAAAATGTTTTGTGACGCTCCATGTGGTAGCTATAAAACAGTAGGATTTTCGAAATATGAAGGTTGAACTTAAAAGGCTCCTCGACAATGTAAGGAAGCGCAAAAATAAATTAATTATCGAATATATGGCTCATCTTTATTGAAGATTATATTGAGTTTGAAAATTATATTTGCGAGAGGAAAAGAAACCTTGTTATATATTGGATGATTGCATAAGTTTGTGCCCGATTTTCATAGATGGCATTAAGTTACTGCATGATATTACTAATAATGTAGTAGTAACATGTATACAATTTTGCGACTTAATTATATTATAAATTTATCTCGATAGAAAGCCCTCTTATCCCTCCGCACACAAGCAGAGTTTAAGACACACATCTTTGTCACGAGATCAATAATTGGAAAGTATATACACATGTGATATATCAAGCTATTCTGTTGCGTTTTATAAAATTAATTAGAGATAAATAAAAGAGTAATTAATTTTCTGACAAAGTATATATTTATATAATAACGTATGTTATTAATTATTATGTATACTATTAATTTAATTATAATTATAAAATTTACATAATAATATAAAATCATAATAGATTCTTGATAGAAAAACACAAAATGCTTTTCAAATTTCATTCCACTAACGCGCAGTTAAAGACGACGTTATTATCACACGAGGTACTTAGCGATATCTTTTAGCGAGAATATATGCGATAATAAAACCAAGTGGAACCCTGTGTTGGCAAAGCAACGTTATTACCGAGCTTACGTTCTATATGTCCGGTTCGTCGAGTTTCCCCATCGGACAAGCTTTTTGTTCCTCCGCAAGAGCAGCCAATTGATCCAGCTCGTCTTTTTGTCCGCGACGCATTTTTGTCGGAAACAAGCGGAAACAGTGCGCTTCGTAAACACGAGACCCGGAATCGTTACACGCTACACTACCGTCGTTAGGGTGGATTTATAAATAAGTATACGGGGAGAGAGAGAGACCGCACCTTGTCGTTATGGAAATAAATCAGTCAGGATAAATATTCATAATCCGTAGCACACGCATGTGACTCGCGTGACCGTTATAATTAGTCCGTATGCAACAGCGTGCAGAGACTCTCCCATCCGGTTCGAAATAATTGCATTCGATGTCGCGTATAATAGAGATTTGAAAGAGACATGCGAAAGAGGCTCGATATTTTAAAATCACCTTTTGCTGCGCGTACTGTGAAACACCATTAATAGGGTTGCACAAGATTCAAGATAAGATAATATTCGTAAAAATATTGTATTGGTATTGAAAATTTCCGGAAACGTAAATCTGATCTTGAATCTTGGTAACAAAAATCTCGTCTTGTATTGTCTCGATTTTATTACCAATTTTTATCTAATATTGAACAATTGTTTAAAATAATATTTAACAATATATAATATTACTATTTATGTCATTTATTCCCCAAACACGCCTTTTGTAAATAATTATGTATTATTTATTTTGTTTATTGTATGGATTATTTCTAAATGTTTTTATTTATTAAATAAAATCTTTTATGTCTGTATAATATAAGTTATTTTTTCTCAATTAATTTATACATAAATATACCTATTTTAAAAATCAGAATAATTTTGACAAGGCCAATAATTTTAATTTTAATCTTGCTATTATCTTGATAACTAATAAAAAATCTTGTCTCGAATTTTAAAACAAGACAAGACACTATCAAGACTAGTCTTGATATCTCGTGCAAGCCTAACCGTTAATATAAACTCGCTTTACGTAAGCCTTATGTAAAAAATACGAATTGTTCGAGCTATATTTATCCGTAATATATATTTTTAATAATATTTAACGTTCTAAGAATAAATATAAGCGCGCCGTTTGGTGAATTGACCAGCTCAGACACGATAACCAATTTCGCAGGGGATCTCTTCGTCGTTGTGTTCAGTATGGACTGTCGGGAGTCCTTCGAGGAAGCCATCAGGCTGAGGGAAGCGATCCTCGAGACTAAAGTGAGCGCGACTCAAAGTGCCACGAAGAGCAGAAGGAGCCACTACAGTCTGAAAGTCCCTATGGTCATCGTGGGGAATAAATGTGATAAAGATGTAAAGTACGTTCTCTTTCCCCATTCTCTTAACTTTGGTCTTATGAATAATATCTTTTCATCATCGCATCTTTGAGTCGTGTAATTATTTCAACAAATCTCTCGTTCACTTTATAGAACGGTCACGGTAGAAGAAGCCGAGCAATATTGCGTAAGTCAAGATGAATGCTGCATCTTCGTGGAGGCATCCGCGAAGCGAAACTATCACGTGGACGAATTATTTTATCAGCTATTCGTAGTGGCAGGTCTACCTCTGGAGATGGCTCCGAATCATCACCGAAAAGTACCGCTTACCTTTGGCTCGCCAACTATGCTACCGCCGTCGCAGGTAATTAATGATTTAATGCTCGATGCAGCACTTTTAAAAGTTCGTTAAACTATAATTTTCCCAAGATTTTAATCAAACACTCCTGTATTTGAAAGCCTCGCGTAAAATTCGATTAAAAGTCGTCGAAGCGCGCGGGACGATACGGGTGTGTTGTCTTTTCGGAGTCGCATCGCGATCGATTAAACGAGGATTACCTTTCGCGATATCGATAGGGACGGCTGAAGAGTCTCAAAGAGTGACGCTTTTGTTTCCAGCCGCGGCACAAAGCCACTCTCAGCATAAAACGTCGGCTGAGCGATGCTTGCGGCGTCGTGGCGCCGAACGTGCGACGTCCCAGCATAAGAACGGACTTAATGATCATGCGGACGAAAACGTGCTCGCTCGCGGCCGCGAACGAGAACAACACACCGGGATCCAGGATCACGCTTAGAACAGGAAGAATCGAGTCCAGGAAGGCCTGCACGATACAGTGATATTTCAAACAATTGTCACGCGCGCGGACAAATTTCTATAGATATATGAAAAATATGATAACGCGTTTTAAAGCGATCTTTAGAAACGAGTATCACTCTCTATTTATACGATCTTTGTATACTTCTGCCTATTATAATTTTACTAGAATTGTGTACGAGGTACTATCTCTGTTTATTTTAATTTATTGTGTATATAATTAGCGTTATTATTATTATTATTTTTAATCTTTGATAAAAATCGCTCTTCTTCCAATATTTCTTGCAGGACGAGAAAAGTAGTGATAACTGAATTTGTGTTAATGGAAACCTCATATATGCGATCGAAACTTTCAGGTCTACAATTGTCAGACTTCACTGGTAATACGCAGATAACGCGAAACGAATACTCGCGGACGAAGATCGCAAGGGAAAATCATGTTTAAACCGACCACGCTACTCGCCTTAATTAATTAACGGAATATAGCTTTAGCGTAATGTCCCGAAGGTAAATATGTATAATTAGCTTAAGATGTGATCGAGTGAGAGAAAGAGAGATTGAGAGAGGTAAGCCGCTACATTAATTAATCGTCCTCGATCAAACGCTAAACGGGAAATCAATACTTCGATTAAGAGGGATAAGATCGTTTGACATTTGATCGGAGGGTTCTCCGGTAGCAAGATGATTGAGTTGCAAGAGGGAGAAAGAAACAAAAGAAAGAGGGAAAGCCACGTACTCTTCTTATTAGAACAAATTTTTATCGAAATTATTCTGGAAAATTCTTCACGATGAAAGGACGATAATGCAAGATCGAGACTTGTCAGTGTTATGTCGTTATATGAGATTGCAAAAAACACGATGAAAAAAAGCTTTTTATCGAATTGGTTAACTGCGCCCATCGTAGCCTTATTCAAGTTCTGACACATGAAGGAGAGCGTTTATATTTTCACATAAGATCTAGAACGTTATTAATTTCATTAATTGCGCTCGATTAAAGGAATGAATTTGATCGTTTTTCCTTCTGCTGAATTTTTCCGTGTACATCTAGCGGATTTTCGTTCAGGATAAATAGCTCTAAAATAAATTTCATTACATTTATGACACATTTCGTATTTTGTTCGTGCACGGTTTGTCATCTTCGATTAGCGAGACCGCATTGTCAATGGCGAGACACGCATTATATGCCACATGCGTACATATAAAGTCAATCGATACTTTTGATATCTCAATCTTCTTTTTTATGCATCTCAAACCTGTTAATACGGGTCGAGCAAATGCGAAAAAATTTTTCTTCTATCGATTGCATTTGCACTTGAAAAATATTTAGTTTAATCTTCTTGCATGTTTATTTTAAGCATAATCAAATAAAAAGATTACAAAAATTAAATTCGAATACTTTATATCAGATTTTAGCAACACAATAGAAAATTTATTTATGAAAAAAGCTAACAACAACTTCTTTCTTCTTTCTGTCAAATTATCGAAAAAAGAATAAGCATATTTATTCGATGAGCGAAAGCTATTTAACGAATATGAATTTATTGAAATTGTGTGTATGTGTGTGTGTGTGTGTGTGTGAAATTTTTTTGTTCTTTTAAAAAAATACATTTTTCCTGTAAATTGCACTAAAAAAAAAAAGTTGTTACCTTGACTAAATGCGTTCAACCGATTACTATTTTTTTAATTAAAATATTTAAGTATTTAAATTAAATATGACATATTAAATCTAAAACATGATGTATTTGACTTAAATACTTAAATATTTTAATTAAAAAAATGGTGATCAGTTGAACGCATTTAGTCATGTTAACAACTTTTTTTTTTTTTTCTTAGTGCACTGATTCGATGGATGCATTTGGACCGATGGGACATTATAGGCACATGTAGATTTGTGAGTATCCGAGATATGGATAAGCATCCGTTCTCTTTCCATAGACTCGGCCATAGTTACTCTCTAAGGTACAATCGATGATTTGACCAATTAGGCGGCCCGTAAATCGATTACAACCGAAAGCAAGCGCAGAGCTGTGTTGCTGCAATCGCTAAGAACAAAGTGAAAAAAAAAAAGATTATAGTCGCGAACATGCGCGATTGTGCTCGCATTTTTGTATCAAATAAATGACATTTTCTCCATGTCTTTTTACAATTTTTTGAAACCATACTTATATCTAGTCTCCGAACAAAGCCGATGCTGATATATCGATGTTTTTCTAAAAAAAGAAAAAAAGCAATTTTTCACACCGAAGACAATATTGCGATCAGTTTCCAAAGCGAGATATGGATTTAATAATTGGACGCTTGTTCTCTGATCGCCTGGAGCGAGAAATGGATTTAAACCAGATTTTCATCATTAACGCTGCGGGCTACGATTTGTCGATTATCGCCTCCGGCAATTCTATCTTATTGGTTTGATCGATAACTCTTCAATCGAATTTTCTCAACTATTAATTGCTTCGTTATGGCGGAATAGAAATAATTGTTATAACTAGATGAAAACGATATAAAACTCAGTGCATTCATTAAATTTTCGAGAAAACTTCATCGCGCATTGAGATAATTTCAGCAGAAACACGTCTGATTGTGATTTTATAATTAAAATAATATAAAATGGCATCACATAATTTAATGTGTTTTAAAATTGTATATTTATAATTTTTTTCAATTTTTCAAAATTATACAATGTATTTCTCCTATAACAAAAAAAAAAAAAATTCTTTTGAAAATATAAGTATTTTAATTAAATCGATGTATTTTTTCGCGCAATTTCCACGTTTCAAAATTTTTGCGTTAAATTTTGTTCTAAAGTCGTATTTTAAAGATTTTCAAATGCACATGGTAAATTAAATTACACGAAAATGCGAAAAGGCATTAAATATTTAATTGATACGATTGAAACTTTTGATCGGAAAATATATTTTTGTAATAAATATTGGCCATTTATTTGCATTTTTTGACGTTTTCAATAAGAAAAGATCACCAATTATTCTCGTTGAAACTAAAAGCACTAGAGAACCGTTTTGTTATCTGAAAACTAACACAAGCGCAACAGTTCAATAAAACTAGAACAAAAAAAGACTTGAACGAGTTTTCGTTGTTGATTGAAAACAGCGACACACAGAAATAGTACACTCGGGGTAACCGTGTTAAAAATACCGCGTCTCACAAAGTATGCTAACAATAAGATCTTCTTTTAACTTGATAAATTAATTTAATAATACAAAGTATATAAATACTTCTATAATTATTCACTTTCTCACAAATTTAACAGAAATTTTCGATATTAATACATCTTGCATTTTATGATATCAATCAAGGTAAATATTTTGTAAACTATCTTGCAATATTTTTTTACGACATTTAAATCATATAGCTATTTTTTCAGATGAAGAAGATAAACATGTTATAACTTTGCAGTTATTTTAATTTAATGCTTATCTAGAAAATATACATATAATTTATATTTATACTTTATTTATTTACATATATTTATTTTGTTAATTACTTTAGCGATAAATTCCATTTAATTTTATGTATGTTCAAAGAAATTAATAGACAAACACGAGCATTAATATTAATTTTAATGATATATGTATATATGTATATATGTATATTACGTAGATTTCCCATGGGAGATTCTCGGTGAAAGATTGAAGACGTTCAAACTTCTCTGATTCAAAATTTACATTTTGTCAAGGATGTATGACTCATGAGATAGGTTTGAAAAAAGCCATCACCGTTAACAGCAGTTTGTATTTAGGAAATGGGCACGATTACACAACATACGCATTCCACGGTCGTGGAATGTTTAATTAAACTCTGACGAGAACTTAGAGAGAATTCCAGACAATGTGCGACACAACAGAGATCTCTGTATACGTACAATTTATACCTTTGCAACGCACTGTTGAACCGCGATATTGGTTTACAAATTTAATTCCACGCACAGCGTGGTTTATCTTACAAGATTGTTTTGATGAAAAAAAGAACTATTGCTTAAACATGAAATAATAATATCTCACCTTGACAATTTTCATATGCAATCGTTTTTCTGATCGGGAAGATTTTTTATTGGAAACACGCGTAATAGCAGAATATATCCTATTCGTAATTATAGTAATGCTAACAATTATTAATTTTGTCGACAGCTATTGACACGATTTAGTTTAATTAATATAAAATATTTTCCCTTTGTTAGAAATGAAACAATACAAATTATATGAAACTATATTGACATCGTAAATATGCGTAAATATATTTCTATGGCACCAATTATTGTATTTCGAATGGCACTATATATGTATATATATTTTCGTGTTTTTAAAATGTTCATTTTTCTTTTTAACATTTTCTTTAATGTTTTGAAATTCTCCAATACATCTCTTTTACAAAAAAAAAAAAAAAAAAAAAAATGTAATTAAAATGACGTAATATACTCTCGCGCAATTTTTGCGTTTCAAAATTTTCACATTCGACTTTTTCTTAAAATTGTGTTTCGAAAATTTTTCCATATACATTGTAAATTCCAGGATAACGCGAGAAACGAGATTATAAATATATTTGAAAAATGAAAGGAGCGTAACGTTTCCAAAAAACGATGCATATTTTCGCAACAATTTCCGAAATCGCATTTGATTTTTTTTTTCCTTTTAAAAGCGCAGGAGGATGTTATCTACTAACCACCAACGATCACCCTTTCATCAACGCGCATGCACGCCGTTGCCTATATCGACCTCTTCGCTTCTAAACACGCGCGTTAAGAGCGCAAGCGTGTTAGCTGTATGCCTGTCCGCCACGTCGAAATACATCGGCAATATCTCGAGTGCGGGTGGACGCGAATCAACGCGATCGGATAACGACGGCGAAAATTGTTAAAGCCACGAAACGATAATATCGTTTCGATAAAGCGTTCTCTGAATAAAGATAACATACGTAGCGTATCGTTAAAACAGTTTGCGCAACGGTCGCGCGCTAGTCGTGAAGGCTGGCATCGAACGAGCGTGTCATGGACTTCCTCTTATATAAGTACTGCGTCTCGGAATTTATACACACACGATAGTATCAGTGCGTTCGTCACGCAGTGAGCAGTCGCGGTAGATAAACGCTCACCGGCATATTGCCGCGGCTGATTCAATGCGAAAATTACAAAACTTAAAGTGCAATTGTGAGAATTATTAAATAATTACAGACATAAAATCGCAGTATAGGAGAAAAACCGCGTTGGGATAATTTCATTTAGATTTATGTCAAATCTATGAGATTGAGTGATAACTAGAACGAGAATATTTTTGCTATGCTGAAAAAGTAAGTAAAAAAAAAAAATTTATATATATATAATATATATCTTTTAGAGTTATACTTTTGTTAAAAAGATTGAGGAATTAAATTAATTGAATTAAGACAATTAAAAGGTGTTAAACTTTTTCCCTATATTTTTTGTAATTGTATTCTTTTATAAAGAATATATGAATTAAAGAGAATTAAAAAAAAAAAAAAATCTTTTACGCGTGCAAAAAATAAGATATATAAATAAAACTTAATAGTTTTTATTTTAAATTTAAATAATATCAGCTTAATGATATATCAATATGTTACAAAGAGATGAAAGATCTCAAAAACAAATTCCCAATTTGATTATAATATATATTTTGTTTTACCTAATTTTTTTTCCAGGACGATTACAGATAGTATATTGTAAGAAGAAGTTTTAAAAGTGTCATCGATCGATCGAGATATTTTGCAGCAATGTGTCACGATGCGGTTTGAATTATATTATCCGCGATGTTCGTAACAGCTCCTCGAGATAGCGAGTGAAAGCCAAGTTTATATTACAATTTACGATCTAATTCGCTTTTGAAACTCCGTTAAAATGGTTGCCGATGGACATAACAGAAACATCTTTACCTACGACTCGTTGGTACACGCGATATCCGGTGCAGCGGTGTGTATATTGTATTTTATACGATATCGTACACGTGTGTATTTCCACGCCGAAAGTAACTTTGACATTTCGACATTTCAGGGTAGCGTGATCGCGATGGCAGCCTTCTACCCTCTGGATACCGTGCGAAGTCGTTTACAATGTAATCCATATTTATGTCTATCGAATTTATATACGTGACAAGCCAATTTTGTACTTGTTTCATTTACAATATGCATTGAAACATCGGCAACAAGCTTTCGATAAATGCGATGTCACTTTTAAATAATACTCTGTTATTCTCACGACTTCATTACCATTAATGCTTGCAACGCGCATATTTAATTACATTATCATGTTTAATTGTGAATATTCATATTATTTGCACGTTTTATAGGTTTGCTTTTTATTTATGAAAACGTTTATGCTTATTTATAATTATTTTTTATACAGTTTTATAAAACGCTACAAAATATGGTATTATTATTTTAGATATAATAAGAATAAGATTAGAACATTTAATATAAAGTATACATACATTTATAATATACACAGTGTGTATATTTTATATAAAAATATTTGAAATATATAATGATAATAATTTAGTAACAATTGTAATAATTGTAATAATAATTTTATAACAACGCACGGAAAATAGAAATATAAAACGGCGTAAGAAATCTTTGTAAAGAGAGAACGGTACATCATTACATATTACACAAGTCTCAATCATTACAATATTTATATATAGTTCTCATCTTTTCCACACTTTAATTTACATAATGATCTTATGAAGAACCTGTTCTTCTATTTGTAGTGGAAGAGGGACGACAATCGAAAAATACGTTGGCGATTATACGAGAACTCGTTGCGAAAGAAGGACCGTACGTATTTGCAAATATGCTTTTTTGTGAAGAGGGATCCACGTGTCTTTCTTTTGAGCGAATAAATGTCTCATAGAAATTATAATCAATATTTCTAAAAAATAGAATAAAAAAACTTGGATGAGAAATTATTCTGCATTATCAAAATTTCGAAACATATGATTGAAATAATTTAATTGTCATTCGTTTCTTCAAGGTGGACATTATACAGAGGTATGGTTCCTGTTCTGCAAAGCTTATGCGCGAGTAATTTTGTTTATTTCTACACATTCCATGGTTTAAAAGAATTGAGAAGCAGAAGAAACCAAACGGCTGGCAGCGACTTGTTTATCGCGTCGATCGCTGGTACAATTTCAATTCATTAATTATTTATAGAGAGAATTGCTTGAAATTGTAATCATGTTTTATATAACAACATACGTTTTTTTTTTTTTAAGCAGATAAGTAAGGCATTGAAAGTTTTTAAATTGTAAGTGATTAAGAAAAGATAAATTAATTAAAATATAAAGTATGCAAAAATAATAATATTCTTCAATTTATCTTAAATATACTTTATTTACAAAAAAAAATTTAATTGATGAGGATGACATATATATAATAATATTAATAATATTGAATATTAAAGCACGTTGTATTGGAAGATTGAAAAATGGAAAAAAGAAAAATGAAAAGAGTATAAAAGAAAAGTAAACTTTGATCAAACTGCTAACTTTATTACATGTAATATTGTTAGAAACTTTAAGACACCCTCTAAATCTATTTCTATCTATTCCAGGTATAATCAATGTTCTTACGACAACACCTCTGTGGGTTGTGAACACGAGATTGAAGATGAGAGGTATCGAAGTTACTCATCCAGAAAGAAATAATAACGAATATACTACTTTGTACGGTAGGTATATTTCATATGAATATGCATGTAATATATGTCACATAATTATTTGTCATTATTTTCTATATTTTCAATGGTAATTTCAATAATACTTTATTTACATCTCAATCAATATTAATGCACCACGTATACATCTTCTGTCAGACGATGTATGCGTCGCTAATATGTATATGGAAATAAGCGTCACTATATGCTGGGAACGTTTGCGTCACCATTTAAAATGCGCTTACGACATTCAATAAGTGGCGTGATATTGCATTATATTGAGGGCAAATAAATTATCTTGCGAGTTTATAAACTTAACACACAAGAAATCAGACATAAATATTGAAACATAATATAAGAAAGTTAAATGAGAGTCCATAATTTTTTTAACAATAGGTTTATTATTAGTTGCAATTATTGTAAAAATCTTGCGCACTTATCTTGCATTTATATATATGCCAATTAAAAATGCATTAGGTGAAAAAGTCTGCATATTCATTGGAAATGGTATAAATAATTTATTAGAGGCGATAATTTTTTGGATTTTAGAGGAAGAAAGGGAAAGAAAAAGAGAGAGAGAGAGAGAGAGAGAAAGAAACTAGTTATTATTTATGTATTTAAATTATTAAATATATTATTTAATTAAATTTATTAAATTATCTAAATTTATAATAAAATTAATGAAATTAATAAAATTTATTAAATTTGATTACATTTAATAAATTATTAAACATATATTGTGTAAAATATATATTCCTTTAAATTTTTAAAAGTCAATATTCCAAAAACAAAAAAATTTTTTAAAGATTTTTTTAAGATATTTTTTATTTTCAAAATTATTCTGTAATATATTAGTTGTCATGTAATGTTGTTTCTATCTGCACATTGTTTTTATCTGTATATTAGATGCTAGATTATATCATCATTTTTTACAGACGGTCTCATGCATATATGGAAATACGAAGGTTTGAAACATCTGTGGGCAGGAACATTGCCGAGTCTCATGCTCGTCGCGAATCCCGCTATACAATTCATGACATACGAGAGTATCAAAAGAAGAATCAATGTATCTCTCGGCGGTGCTCAGCCACCGGCATGGGTTTTCTTCGCTATCGGTGCGATAGCGAAAACGATTGCTACGTCATTAACATATCCTCTGCAGCTTGTGCAAACTAAGTTGAGGGTATGGATAAATTACAATATTAATGACATTTTTAGTTTGTTTTCTAAAAATTAACAAATGAACTTAAATAGAAAAATTATTGCATGATTTTAATCGATAAATATTGTAATTTCAGCATGGACACAAGTATCCTAATTTACCTCCAAACGCAGGCACGTTGCAAATACTATTCTACATTCTGAAGTAAGTGAAAATATGTTCATTTATATGAAAAATATATTATTTATGTATTTTATTTATTTTATTTACTATTTTACTTTGTGTATTTTTTTATATAATTTGTGAACCATTAACGAATGCATGATTTTTGCACACAGGAAGCAAGGGATAGCTGGATTGTACAAAGGAATGGAGGCTAAACTTTTGCAAACTGTCCTCACAGTCGCCTTGATGTTTTTGGCTTACGAGAAGATCGCACGATTCGTTTTCCGTATACTTTTACATAAGCCTATTCTCAGATAACGATTTGTTTTTAATAATAACACTACTAGGTAACCTTAAGTTATATAATCTTCAAATCAAATGCGTATTTACGAGTATAAATACGTACATACAAAATTTATACATTCCTATGAATGTTATTTCTTTTGTAATCTTATGGGACAAGTATAAGATATTAGTATTAAAATTATTACAATAAGGCAATCTCTTTCATACACAATTGAGAGTTTAAAAGAATTTATATCAATTTTCACTTTTCTGATTATCTTTATATATGAAATTATATATGAAATATATATAGAATTATATATGACATTAAATAAATAATTAAATGGGGGATAAATAATTAAATGCACATTTTGTATACTTCATACTAATCATCAATTAAAAAAACATATGTCAAGCTGACCAGCCAGAAATTAATTGCATAAATCAAGGAATCATTCGATAATCGAATTGGTGTTGAAACGTGCGATTAATAGTCTTATCGATGACAACGTCTCAGAAAGGAATGATTAATCGGGCGACGGAATTTATGAGAGTATTTAAGAAAAATGTGAACGTACTTGCGTGAGATACTGGCGAGTTCACGAAAATCACATCATCGTTTTCGACCACAACTTCGATACAAATTGAATCATTTGGTGCCGCCGCTTTTGCAAACGCGTAAAGCAAATGCAAGAAAGCAGGACAAAGAGGCGGAATGCGTAAATGTCATCGCGTGTCGCGATTACTCCTACAAGATCGAGCGCAGGCGATCTGAGGCGATATTAAAACTCCTGGCTAAACTTAAAATACGCAAATCATCTAAAAGCCAAGCGCAGTCTAACAGTTGCAAATCCGTGACTTCCAAGTAAGAATTAGTAAATATAAAAAAAAATTGCTCGATTTTTCAAATTAAAAATAGAAATGTAAATAACATAATGTACTGGATTTTCTTTATTATTATTAACGTTAGCAACAGCTTTGATATCAATATATAAAATAATCTCAAAATGTTTTGTGCATTTCGAATATTTTTGATATTAGTAAACGCTTTAACTTTTTTATAGCTTTTTTGTGTGAATATTAATTTTTATTAAATTAAAAGTGAAAGATAGAAATAAATAAAAATTATTATTGAGAAAAACGAATGATTTTAGCTATAGCGTCAGTCATGCTGGAGATACGATGAATCCACCGTCGCGTCGCAGTACACGCGAAAATGCAATTAACAAAGAACCGACCGACACGATAGTTGCTACGAAAAGTAAATTGGAATCAAAACCCACGGTCATATCCTATGATTATGAGGCAGCTATTAGTCAGCCCGATATCCCCTCGAAAATTGATAATAATACGCAGAACCCGAGCTGGTCGGACTCCAGCGACGGATTATCGGCGCCGATCAAGAAGAGAAGTCTTTATACTCGCGGAAAAGTAAATGTAACTACTAAAAAGAGAGGCATTGTTTTTAAATCGAAAATACAAACGAAAAAGGTTACGAAGATTCATCCGCAGCAAATTTCCAATGTCGTCGAGATTAAAAAAGAATCGATATCTTCCTCGGAAATTACTCGAGATACTGAAAATTTTGGAAAAGAAAAGATTGACGCTGTTACTGCGAGTCGCGAAACATCGCTTAATCTTCATCAAGTTTGTCTTAACAATTTTTTTTCTTACGATTAGATCCTCTATTAACTTTGCATTAATTTATGTAATATTTAGAAAAATTTGGTGCATTCGAGAGACATTCAAAAGCCGCCAGAAATAGCGGAAAATGATAAAAACTTTATGAACGTAGTTGTTCGCGCATCTCAAGAAAATTCATACGACGAAGAAAATTCTAAAAAAATTGATAAAAATGCAAGATTGTATATTTCACAAAATAAGACTAGCAAAATTCCGCGCATAAAGCCTAATTCCTTTTCATCTGCATTTGAAGAATCTCATGTTTATTCAGTATAATTTTTTGATATATCTATTATCGATTAAAATATTTAGCTTATTAAGACACTTATTTTTTAAATTTCTTGATTTTAAATAACAGAATAGAAAAGTGCCAGTGAGGAATAAATTAAAATGTTTTGTAAATATGAAATCACCCACAGAATACAGTGAAGAAAAAAAGTTAGTGTTCGAATATATAAAATATATAAAATAAGAGAATGTGGCAAAGAGAGAGATTGTAATTAGTAGAATAAATGTACCAGTATATAATCTCGTTAAAGAAAAAGAAAATATTACATCTTATATTTATTTATATAGAAAACAATATAATTACATTTTTAAATATAGGGATATATATACAATATATAATTACTTATTTTTAATTAATTTATTACAAACGATTATAAATTTATTAAAAACGATTATTTACTGAAACAGCTGTTTACTCATGCT